TACAAAGTACAGTATTTTTATTGGGAGTGGAGGATCCCTCCCATATTTACAAGATCTCAAACACTTTTGGAAGCCGCCATGGAAGCGAAGAGAGAAGCAGAAGAAAAAATAACAAAAACAGTATACAAATATAAACAAATGTTACATAAGTCCAACAAAAACAAAAAGCTGTACTTTCCCTCCCTATTTTATCCTATTATACATATGGCAACTTTCCTATCTTGTATACATTTTGGGAGCATGATCAACAAGTACGCGTCAATATGGCGCAAAAGAACCACCACATGACGTAGGGTTCCACAACACCTATTATGGAATCGCAACAACATGTGATGATTCTTTTGGCTATATTCAGACGGCGACTTATTGTCATTGCTCCCCTCCCTGCCTCTAACAAAGACCCTGCATGGAGAGAAAAGGAGAAACAATACAACGAAGGATTTAGTTTAACAGTCATGATCTAACAATGACATAATTAAAGGAAATGAGATCTAAAATAATACGCAGTCTCATCATTACCACTGCACCCAAAAATAAAGCATGGGATTGGAGGACGAAGAGGCGGATGGGGTTGATTTTCGGAGTTTCATATTGAGAAGATGGAAGAGAGGGTTCTTTTCAGGGATTGAGAGGAGGAGGAACGAACAACAGCAGGAGATGGTTTTCTGAGTTTCATATTGAGAAGATGGAAGAAAGGGTTCTTTTCAGGGATCGGAGCACGGTCTCTCCTTCACTGATTAACGAATTTATAGATTGACTCTGAATTACTTTTACTTTCCCTCCCTTCACATTTACTGAAAATTACAGTCCCTACCACTGCCTCGGCCTTGGTAACGCCAGCATTGGTTATGGGCAAAAGCGACTTTCCGAATTCGGCAATATCTGATTGGGTGACACGCCGCGGTTAGGATTGAAGCTCTTTCACCATCGGATTAAACGAAAATTTAGGAATTGATGGCGGGAGATGGGGATGTGCTTTTAGACTGGCTTTGTAGATTAACTAACTTTTTCGTTTACCAAAATTAATCTACAGATTTGGTACATGTAATTGTAACCCTAATCCCTAAACCCTAAACCAAACCCTAATACAATAACCAATCAATACCATATACTCTACAACAATAACAACACCTTATAGGCTTATACCGTAACCAATCAATAACATATATACTTTAAAGCATCAACACCTTGCTCCTCCCTTATACCATAACCTTCAAGACCTTATACTGTATACCAACAACACCTTCTTCTATCTCCATCCCCAACTTTCAATTTATAATAAGTGTTTCCTTTGAAATATAAAATTTAACCCACCTTGGCAATTACTAGCATAATTTAGGGATGTAGATGAATAGAAATTGTTAAGTGAGGAATTGCTAAAATTGATGATGTGGCGGTAGGGACCTCGTTTAGAAATTGTTGTTCAATTTTAGGGATGAAGATGATCAATACACTAACCCAATACCATATACTCTAAACCATCAACACCTTATACAATATCGTATTTTAGGGATGTAGATGATCAATACACTAACCCAATACCATGTACTCTAAACCATCAACACCTTATACAATATCGTATACCTATACGCTGATAAATTAAAATTATAACTTGCTTTTCAAAACATAAATTAAAAATTGATACTCACTAAGTATCGAACCACAAACCTCTACTTTATTGACTAAGCAAATAAGAGACAATTAATCAATTAAGCTACATCACATTGATGACCATCTTGCATAATTTCGCTTTCTTATTAAGTGAAGGGTTAAAATGAACGATAAATATATCACAGCGGATTGTTTCAACTTCGGCGGGGACTGAGAGAGTGGAAAAGGGGTAATTATTCTACCAAAAAAGAAAAGAAAAGGGGAAATTAATGAAGAGTTAAATTGGACGGATTGTCTTTACCACGCCACTACAAAATCATTCGGAGCAAAAACACGCAGGTTCAAATCAAACAATAAATGATCAGCATTTATAAGCAGATATAAAGAATTATGTCTAAGTACTGATAAATGTGTCACGCTACAATAATTATGTCTAAGTTTTTTTAGTAATAAGGCATGATCAGCATTTATAAGCAGATATAAAGAAAATATAAAATCGAGAAAAAATAAGACAACACCTACCCTCACCCTTTAACCAATCGATACCATATGCTCTAAACCATCAACACCTTATAACCTACCCATATACCATATACTCTATACCATCAACAACCTAATACTCTAAGCAGTCAGTACCCATTTCCTTTAACATCAACACCTTATACAACAATCGTATACCTATACGCTGATAAAATTTTACATTTTGAAAATACTTGCCCAACTAAAGTACATAGGTACTTCAAAAGTGAAATTCTAACTTTCGTTTCAAAACATAAATTAAAAAAATATCCTCACTCAGTATCCAACCACAAGCCTCTAATTAGTCTACAAGAGGTTTGTTATGTACGAGTGCATTGCATAAAGAGGGGAAATCGGTGAGAGAGTGGAATGGGATCTCAATTAATGAAGAGTTAAATTGGGCGGATTGTAGTTTACCTCGTATCGCTAAATGTGTAAAGAGACACGCTAGCATTTACCAAATCCCAAAAAAGATGGAACACAAAATTATGTTTAAATTGCGTGAACTCAATGAATGATCAGGATTTTAGAAGCAGAAGCAGATGAAAATAAGTAAAACAAAGAATCGCCACTGAGATAGACAATTATCAAAGGCCCAACCTAATGACAATCCGGAACTCAGTATCTATTATCAACAAACTAGGTGTCATGGGTCATGTACAAGCCTACGTTTGAATGTTATTTAAAAGCCTGCAAAAATCAATGATTAGACCCAGTCCAACTAGAATTAGTCCTAAACGCACCGTTAATACATAAACACAAATTAAGGAGACCTCTCCATCTGATTCGAATCAAATTAGGTCTTCTTCATCTCCTTCCTCAATCCTCTGGGCGAGATGAACACTGCATATCAGGAAACCTTAATTTCACCGAGTGATAGAAGTTTCGAGAAAATGACAATAACGCTAAGACAAGATGACAAAGCACTAGCGACATGAACCCTAGGGTTAGCAAACCTCTTTCAAGGGTTCTTTTGCAAACGAAAAGTTTGATGAACACAATAATAGACATGGTCGCCGTAATCGTGTTAGAAAGAGATAGGCGAGTAAATTCCGCACGGAAATAAAATGGCGATGAACAAAACGTCGATTTGTGGATAAAAGGATTTGGGGTTCAAAACGATGATTATGTGAGGATTTCATATTGGATGGGGATCTTCTCTTCGAATGTGGATACATAGATTTGGCGTATGAAACATGATGATGTTGGGGATTTGAGATTGGATAGGGAGCTAAATCGAATGTGGATCAAATAATAAAAGGATTTGGGTTTCGAAATGATGATTTTGTTGGAGATTTCAGATTTGATAGGCAGCTTATGATCGAACTTCGAACTTAGAGTTAGAGGGGACCCTCCAAGGCGAATGAGGGATCGTAGAAGGGAGACTGGAAATTGGTTAGGGCGGCGGGTCGTATCCATAGAGTTTAACCTCTTAATCGATATCATTAAACCGGGTACAGTTAGGTTGAAGTCCAATTAATAAAGCATAAACGCTTCGTGATGCTTTTGGTAATTTTCCTTGCCCCCGGTTACCCGTACCCCGGATTTTGCCCTGGGCACCGTAGAACTGCCCATATATATATATGGGAAGTTCTACGGTGCCCCGGGTAAAATCCAGGGTACAACATACCCTGGGTAATCTTCATCGTACGTGTGATCTCAACGGCTCTTGATTTTTCGTCGTTAAATCACTTATTAATTATAACGATAATTTCCAAAACCCTCTTACAAATTATAAATGTTTGCAATTTAGTCCAGCTAATTGGTATGGGTGGGTGAAGTGATTTTTTGGATTGATCTTTAGGATTTAACAACCCAATCCCAATACCCAACCCCACGTCCCTAGAAAAATAAAGGACAGACCACACCCGCCACAGACCATCCCTACCCTATTCTGCTTCTTCTTCGTCTTTCCTGCTGCTTGCCCTGCACAGACCATCCCCTCCGCCTGCATATTGTGATTCAGCCCAAATCATCCTCTCCTCCACGATCCTCCCTGAAACCCTAATTCTAACCAACCGCCTCAAGAGCTTCGAGTCTAGCGTCAGCCTCCGCCTCGTGAAATTAGTCCAGGACGTGAATTCCCTTCGCCGCGGCTCCTGCTTCTCCCACTTAGGGATGGCAACAAAACCCGAACCCACGGGTACCCACCCGACCCAACCCGGTCAACGCGGGTAAAATCCGTGTTGACGAGTTTTGGGCCGGGTTTGGGTTTAAACCCGATCACTATTCACCGGGTTGGGTTGGGTTTAGGTAAACCCGGCCCATGGGTACCCGCCCACTCATATAATTAATTTTTTCGGTATATTTAATATTCTAAACAACTATTCTTATTTATGTTTGTGGAGACATATCTAATTTTTTCTTTTTAATTGTGTAGAATGAAGTTGATGTTATGGAGTGGAGACTAAAGAAACTTAATTGAAAGAAAGAAGCTTTCAATTAAACATGTTATTTATGGATAATTTGTGATTTGCTTCAATTTTCATGAGTTTTCTAGATTGGTGTTGAACAATTTGTATATTTAATTTGTGATTTGCTTGAATTTTCTAGAATGGTGTTTTATATATGGATAATTTATATTGAGAGATTGATATTTGACTTTAATTTTGATAAGAACTTGTAATTGTAAATTTTTTACGATAAAACCCGTGGGTACCCATGAACCCGCGGATACCCAACGGGTTGGGTTGGGTTTGAGTTTTTCAAACCCGGTGGGTTTTACCCCGGGTTTTTTTCAAAGATAAACCCATGGGTTTGGGTTTGGGTTTGGCAAAACCCGACCCATTGCCATCCCTACTCCCACTTCCACTCCCAATAGGAACTGATCCTCTCCATCCTCGCCTACAGCGGCGAAGGAATCTACTACATTGTCGAACTGGCTGTCCAAATGGGGTTTAATCGACAGGAGGGAGGCCAAGAGGTTGGGGAAAATCAGCGCCTGGGCGGAATTCGGCGAATATAGCGCGAGCTTCTCGTTTAAAGGTAGGGATTTGAACGAATTGAATGGGGACATGGTCGCGCTGTCGTCGACAATCGAAATCGCGCATTTGAGAAGAAATGGGTGCGGCTTGGAAGAAGAGAGGATGATGAATCTGGAACTGGTCATGGTAAATTTCTCTATCTTCAAGCTTCTCTGTAGAGGTTTAGGGGCATCTTGCCTCTTGATAAGTTGAATCTGGAGTTGTTTCCTTTCTTGGCCGATTGAAATTTGCTAAATGGATTGGAAAAGCTTCGGTTCGGCGGAAATGAAACAGTAGGGGAGGACTTTGCTACCATTCGTTCAATGATAAAAAAAAGAATCGTTCAATTCGTTCAATTCCAGTAAAGCGATTGGAAAATTGCTTTGTTTCGATTTCAGATTTTTGGATTCAATCTTGCTGGAGAAAATCGAAGATTCTGAAGCTCAGTTCTTCTTGTTGTAACTTGTGAGTATTCTCTGAAATTTTCCCTGTCCTGTTTGCCTCCCATGCCTGAATCTTACTGTCTAGTGGTATTATGTTAGTTAGGAAAATTGCTTTGTTTGTCTTAAAAACGAAACTTTGCAGTGGGAAGTTCTCTTTAAATCAAATTAATTAACTATGATGGCTGGTAGTGATAGGTTTTGAACTGAATGTTTACTTTGATCTGCAGGAATCATCTTCGGGTGGCAAAACTTATACTTACGCTCTGGATATATTTCCCTTTTCCAAGTCTTATTTTTCCCCGATGAATGGGTGAGATTTTATTCATCAAATACGATCAACAACCAAGTCGCAAACTTACAACAGCGGGTAACTGCTGACAAACAAGAATACGAACTAATCTATACTGCCATCTACCTCACTACTTACCCTATTTAGCTACAAGACTTATACCACAACATTGAGCAGGATGCTGATGCTGAGACTATGGAATCTCCTACCTCCTTTGCCTCCATCACACACTGCATTTTTCTTGTGATTTCGATAACAGACAACTGCTTACCGCCATAAAGCCTTCTGCAGAGTTCTCTCCAGATCTCACTCACCACCAGACACCAAATCATTCTGCCAACCAAGCATTTTTTGAACTTCTGGCATGCTGCTGTGACTGCCTGCTGCAAAGTTTATGAAATTGGGAAAGACCATGGCTCTGGGAACACAACAGCCCAGACTTCTTGCACATATTTACACAGAAAGAAAATATGGTTCCTGGACTCAGGCTCTTGGCCACTGAGAGAGCAGGTCAGAGCAACCTCTGGATTCCAATGTTTCACCATGTACAGAGTAACTATTCTGTTTAACAACACTAGCCAGGTGATTACTGAATTTTTTGGGATGCCACTCTTCCACACTAGCTTAGACCAGTTCACATTCTCACCCTTTGGCCTGATGCCTTGCCAAATTTTGCTAATATGGAACCGAGATAACTTCTCACCCTCCCACAGCACCCCTTGATCTGTCTTGCACAATTTCCCAGAGAAATCAGCTCTAAGTTTGAGAATTTTATTCCAAGTCTTATTGTGTACTTCCTACATTTACAGGCAGCAATCTTCTGGAGCTAGAGGTGAAGACTTAAAGAACCCAAAAGTTGTCTTCCTCGGCTGAAGACTTGTCAATGGACGGTATCAAATGTTCCATTTTCTTTGAGCATACTTGCACCCAGCCTTGTGAAACTCGAGCTGAGATGCTTCATTGTCTTCCCTGGCAGATTGTCGTATTTGTATTGTGGAAGTGAATGAGCTCCAAGTGAACCACTTCATGCATCTGGAAATCCTTCACCTTGATTCAGGAAATATTTGCACTCTCCTTCATTCATATACAAATAAATTGGGTTTTCTTAGTTAGCATCACAGGGAATATATTGATCGATATATTCACAGGAACTCATTTCTTGTTTGTTGCAGGAAGTAATAGCAGGCTTATGGGTCTTGGTTTTGCAATCCTGAAGGTGTGGCATCGAGTAACATAGCTAAAATTGCTATCAAGTGGGGAGTTCATAATACTAACAACGAGCAAATGAGTTTAAGGCAAGTTTTGGACATGCTAACTTTATCTTTCTTCGAGCATACTGTCAGTTTGTATCCTTCAACCACTTATATTGTTTCTTTTATTTTACAGACCTCGTAACATGCAACCTGCTCTTAAATGATTTTGGCAGCATTGAATTGCAACCATAAGCATACCGCTGGTGCCCAGGTGAGCTGATAATGAAAACATATTTCACTTGCCTGCTTAGTAGTCTCAAGGTTGCTTTAGTAGCAGCTTTTTTTTTTGTTTAGGTCGCAGAATGATCTTAATACCGTTCTAAAACCAGAATATCCATTATCTTAAAGTACCAAAAAGTACCCAACAAAGCACTAAAAAGTACCCAATAACATCCTAACCAGACCAATAACTCATAATATCTAGCCGAATAACTCAAATAGCCAAGTTGCTGCTCTTGTGTTGATCACTTCTCGTACGTGGCTTCTTCAACATTGAATACACCAAAATTTAGTAAGAAAAAAATACGGATGCAACAATATAAGGTAGACATGCACAAGGAACTCTTAATATTACCCTTTGTTGGTCATTAATGTCAGTAGTACCAACATCTTCAGCACTATCCTTCTCTGATGACTCCGGGCAAGTTCTTCTATTATGTTGCGTTGAACCGCATCTTCTACAATGTTTATGTCTCGCCTTAGTTACTGTTTCTGTCTGGTTTTGTATGTCTAGGGCATCACCATCGTCTTCGTTTTCATTTCCATTGTTATTGGCTTAATCCTCAGTCTGCGGGGTTGACTCTGTAGTAGTCGGCCTTACATACCCAGGAGGGTGTGGACAAGTGGATATATAATGAGCCCATTCCCCACATCTACTACATTGTCTTTGCTCTCCTTTCTTCTTCTTCTTCTTCTTGTTTTGTTGACCCCCTGAACCTTTATGTTTCACCGGCAATGGATCCAACAACTTCTCTTTTGCATTCGTTCTATGAATGTCTGGTATCTCGGTATTACCAATGTGCATCGTGTCTAGCGATTCACATAATGATGAAATTCCTTCACGAGCAAATTTGAAGCAATCACTAGATTTTGCTCCTTTTAAGCATAATTGTAAGTTGGCTTGTTGAATAATCCCATACCTGAAAGTCAATATAGTTTAGTTAATGCAAAATATATGACAACTAGAGCTTTTTATTGACGCGTACTAAAAAAAGTTACAAAAGCTAGGGTACCTTTCTGATAAAAAGATACACTGCCCTACGTTAACATTAAAATCAAAGATCATCTGGGCTTAGCTTAGCTTTTAAAACATCTACATGTTGCTTTCTTATGATAATCACAAACCTGAAAGTGAAAAGTGGACCCTCGTCGATATTATCTTGTTGCGGTAAGCTCTCTAGTGTCTTCGGTTTCTTTGACCACCTTAACCGTACCAGGCCTTTTGGAAGTTCTAGTACCCCTCTTCTTTTAGTAGAAAAACCATATGACAACATGGTATCCCCATATAGTTGTAATAATTACAACTACACTCCATGGAAAACGGGTCAGTTGTGTATTTGACCCGAAAAACCTTCTCTTTGCCAGACATTGTCATCCTGTAAGTGCGCTCATTTTGCGATACCTTTTAATCCATCCTTATGCAATTTCCAGACTTTTCAACCTCATCTCTAAATACGAAAAATGCCTTCTTTGTGAATAACGCAGAGGCAGTCTTCTGAAGTGATACTAAGACATTGGACGTAATGGTCCGTTCACGATGAATGGATTCAAAATCAGTGTGTAGCTCAATCTCCCTCATATCTCTACTCCAACGATCAAAATTAATAAAAAAATCAAGTAGATTGTTATCATTTTGGATATTGGTCAGCTGGGAGTTCATTCCTTCACATCTAGATGTTGTTGCCAAACCTGCAAAGAACTTAGAGCACAAGTATGTATACGCCCATTCAGTTCTTTGGTTAAATAGATTGGAAACCCAATTGTTGTGCTGTAGTGAGCACTCTTGAACCAATGATTTCCACTTAGCTTCAAATTCTGATGGTTCCAAGTCAGCTTAAACAAAATACTGCCATTGAGTGACAAAAATAGAAAATTTCTTCAATCTACTGATAATAGTCTTGTCTATGTGCCAAGAACACAGACGATGTTTTGCATCAGGGAATCTTTGTTGAATTGCATTGCGCATAGATTTATCCCCATCTGTACTAAGAGTCTTAGGAGCTACACCGCCGCCCCCACCCTTCTCTTCAAAGCATCCAAAACCCATACATAATTTTCTTCTTTCTTGTTAGCTAGAAAAGCACATCCAAATATGCAAGTGTTCAAATGATGGTTCACACCTAAAAGTAAAACAATTGAAAATAAGCAAACTAATAAGACAAATGGTGGTTCACACCTAATATTTTGAACATCCAGCAACACATCTAAACCCCTTCTGTATTACACTTCTAAAATCCAAAGGAGGCTAATATATTACGAAAAGAATGAATGGATTATTACCTGAAAAAATTAATAAAGGCATCTTGTAAATGTTCCTTTTGTACGTCGCATCAAATGCCAGTAATTCTCCAAAACATGCATAATCAGCCACCGAAATAGAATCTGCCCAGAACAAGTTAATAAGCCTGTCTTCACCATCTTTCTTTAGTTCAATGACGAACTGTTGGTCGGCACTAAGTTTTGCTTGTAGGTAGGCTAGGGTTGTAGCAGCATCACCTTCACGAATCTATTCTTTTCGTTCTTTGTCCACATAATTATATGCATCCTTCCTCGTAAACCCCACCTTCTGATAACCTCCAGCTTCTGCAACGGCTAGTGAAACGATTTGATGCGTTTTCATGCCTGCACCTCTTCGAAAATTATTTGTCGCTTTAACTGCATCACTCATACGACGATTCCCTTTCATGTAGTGCTTGTATTCTCTAGGAATCAGTGCATGAGAGTGTACGTTATCAAAATTTTCCACAAACCAATCCGAAATAGACTTGTCATATCGAACACGCATCCTAGCATTGCAGTCAAACCTTGTCTTTGCTCTTGGCTCTCTTTTTCGTGTTGTCTGTTTTGTACGCCTCCTTCCCTCACAAGAACATACAAACCAGCGCCATATCGGGACATTATCCTTATCTCGACCAATTTCCTCTTTTCTTACGTCAAACCCAGTGGCCAGCCCGTAATCCCTCCAGAAATCATATGCTTCGTCTAGATCTTTGAATCTGAGTTTCATAATATCTTTTGTTTGTAGAAGTAGTAGATTGGCAAAATCATCTTCCTCTGTATTTGAACTAGTATCCCCGTTTGGATGAGTTCCCTCTGATGCCATGTCCTCGGTGTTAGGATTAGAAGCATTGATGCCATCTTTTGGATGAGCACCCTCCGCTGCCATGTCCTCCTGGTGTGAGGATTAGAAGCATCACTGACATCGTTTGGATTATTTTCCTTGTCTGCCATGTTCGTGAAACGATTTGTGAAACTCAGGAAATCGCAGCTTACGAGTGTCGCAACTCACAACTAATCTCTGTTAGGGCAGTCTCTTAATTTTACGCAGCCAAATTGGTTCTTCTGTATAGGAAGAGGCTATCACGAGACTCCATGGGCTGTCCATAGAAACAAAATGACACCATGGACTGGATCGAGAGCCTTCTTGTTTTCACAGATGGACTATTAAATTAAGAAAAGTGAATATACAGTTTAATAATAAATTACAATATGTACAACCACCATGAGTTAGCTAGAAGCTTAGAAGGAAGTAGGTGGAAGATTAATTAACTGTGTTCATTAAATGAGGAGATAAATATAGAAGTTCTCTGAGTTCGAATAAGACTTGGCACAATTATCCCACAAGAAAAAGAAAGACTTGGCACAATTAACTTCTACACTGCTACTATGTTATTCCTAATTGATGAGGTTGAAAACCCCTATGTCTCGGCTATTAAACCACAACCCTCAGTTGCATTCGAGAGACAACACAACCCCTCTGCCTCACACTTAATTAAACCACAAGCCCTTTGCAGCATGGGGAAGGAAGGGTGTAGTTTTTCAATCCTCTTTGAATTTTCTTTTAACTTTGGTTATGTGATTTTGGTGTATTTGTTCTCCTCGTCCACATGTTGATTTCTTGTACAATTATATTAGGGAGGAGATCAATATGCCCAACAAAATGTCTCGCGGCCAATCTACTACACGGCTAACGCTTTCTGCATCAAAGGATTTGGAGAACTATGTATCGCCGGCGAAGAGAACTAAAATGCGAGATGATGTGACCCCCCCCCCCATGACGCCGAGATCGAATGTGATTGTTCTTGACGGTGAATCTGGAGTCGACCGTTACGAGAAAGGTGTGGGAAAAAACATCAATTTTCCAGCACAACAATTGTCGACGAAGGTATGGTAATCCAAAGTACAAGCCGAGCATTTTACAATGTTCTTTCATTAATTTGGTCTTTCATTAATTTGTTACTAGACCACTTAGATTTTTGATTCACTTTGTGTTTGTCTTAGAGTTTATGGGTTCAAATCAGCATCCCAGTAAACCAGACCACTTAGAGTAGCCTGCCAAAACTTGTATCCCATTGAAGTTATCGATGAAGAAAAGAACATGATTAATTATTAATTGTGTTTGTTCGTTGCCCATCATTGTAGGGTACCACGAGGTTTAAGCTCCGTCAAACCGTAAGCTACAGTGAGGAAGAAGTGAAGCTTGCTCACTAAATCTTTGCTGAAGAATTTCCACCTGACGAACCCTTGGTCCAAACTATGATCGAAGTTTATAGCCGGAAGACATTGTGGAGCTTATGCCCTGACTCATGTGTCCATGCTGATGTAAGTTCTCCTATTATACTACTAATTGGTAATTTGTTTCACTTTTTGAACTATAGTGTTTATATATTTTGTGTTTATGTTCTGTGGCGCATTAGCTTGTCACTTGACCCTTTACGAACTTTGGAGGGATGATGGTCGTGGAAAACGGGTGTGCTTTCTGCCTACAGAATTCCAGGTATATATCGATTTTACCTTGTAATTCTATTCTAGTTAAGCATATTTGGTTACTTTATTAAGCAAGCTCAATGTTGGATTCTTTAATTTTTTTTACGAACAGGATCTGGTCATGAATTGTGGCATGACACCTACTATTGCATTAGAGGCATTCCGTACAAAATTTATTTCAAAAGCTCTAAACTGCAGAAAGGTTATGACTTCCCACGCCACCCATATTATCGTGTCCTCAAATTAGTAAGCTGATTGTGTGATTTTCTCGTATATGTGTACGTGTGTCTGCCCATGCAAGATACTATGGATGATGGAGGAATTCACTGGTTTTTAGCTATTATTTTAGTGGACAAGAAACAAGTCCAAATCTTGGATTCGTTTCCATCATAGGAGCGGAAAACAATCTGTATGAGTGCGGTGGAAACAATGGTATCTTTAGACTTTTCGCCTAAAACCAAATATCATATTTTCCAAATAAATTACGTATTTCAATAAACTTATTTGTAACTTTTGCCAGATTGAATTTATGGGCGAATTGTTCAAGGCTTTGCATAAGGAAGTGGAAACCATATATGCAACACCAAAGATTAAGGAGTTTTCTTGGTCAACTCCTTCACTTGCAGAACAACATCACAAGTATGAATGTGTGTTTTTAGCATAATTTGAATATAAAAATAACTTTTAGCTTACTTACATAATGTATCTTCTTACATAGGAATGATGGTGTGATTTGGGTGTGCGTCTGGATGATGGGTGCATCCTGGGATTCTCACTATGGCATTTGGGTAAGAAATCACATTCCGCCTAGACGACCTCTTTGTATGGTACATTACAAAAATGTCTATGTAGAACAAAGTTTACTAATACATTGAACTCAAGAATATTTGAGGGTGTCTAGCTGGTTGGTGAGTGCGAGAAAGGTTGACAGGTTTACTGCTGTGTTCTGGCTTTCGAATATTGAAGGACGATTGTTATTTCCCATGGTATGAATGCAAAATGACAGGATTTTGACGCAACCTAATCGGGACAAGCTTGTTCCCTCACTTCTATAAGCTGTCTGTAGTTATGTTGTATCTATGCCATCATGTGGCTGCTTCCTGGGTGTGGTCTATTGAGGTTGTCTTGTCTCTTCTTTTTTGGGGTTGTTTCACAAGGCTGTTTTGATTCTTGTGATTTTCTTTTGTATGTGGCTATTATAATCATGGTCATCATTACCCAAAAAAAGTTTACTAATATATTATATATGTTGTTCATACAGCCTTGTGGTGATAGGAGGAGAATGCAGGTGGCTCTGTACCTTGTCAAAGAGCCCACAAATTACATAAGGCACAAAGTCCTCAAGAAAGCAATTGCAAATGCGCTGAGGTTTAAAGCTCAGACACTTGAATACGAAGAAGCAAGCAATAAGAAGGCAAACAAGGGATTATGAGATACCTAGTGTGCTCTAGATTTTCATCATTCGTTTTTCCACGTGCATAGAGCTCAAATACACATTAATTGACCCGTTTTTCTTTTCTTTTCTGATTCCTCTCAATTAAATTTGTCATGTTGCACTAAGTTACTTACGGATGTATGCATGAGGTCCGGGAACACTTCGTTTTATCCTAAATTTTGAACTTGTTTATGGTATTGTTTGGAGAGTTCATTGCATTGAATATTTCATAATTTTCTTAAATTTGGCAGATTGACAATTTTTGAAATTACATTTTCACTTGTTGCAGATTTATATGTGATAGTGATACATTGCATTTATGACCATTCTACAGATCTTTTTTTTTTTGTGAGGTGAATGTTAGATTTATACAACCCACATGTCTATTCAGTTCAGTGCTCTGCGTGTGCCGCCACTGAATTGAAGTGGAGTTTGTTTCCCATTTCATTTTATTTGTTCTGATGGAATTTTCTGGTCCGTGACATTATAGTCTTTCTCAACTCTTAAAGCCTTCCTCAGACTTTCTTCTCTCTTATTTTCCTCTGCCAAGGCAGATGCATGAGCTGCTTGGTCACGTTTTCGCAGGATTGTAGAAGCCATAGCAGCATTTGTCATTTGAGCATATTCTTCCTCAAATTCCTTTGTCTCCAACAGTAGAAGTCCCATGTGATGTTGTAGATCAAAGATCTATTAAAATCAAAATGGTTAAATGGTAAGCTCAAAGTCCACACCGGATTCGTTTGTCTCAAGCTTTGAGTGTCAACATCACCTTAGTTCGCTCTTGTTGATAGAGCTTGTTGACGAGGTCGTATTGAGGAGGGTCATCATGTCTCCATTGAGTCTCGTGGCCTTCCTCATCGGCCAAGAAAGATCTGTACTTGTCTCCACCACCCACCATAATCACCTTCTTTCTCTCTAACTTGCAGTACTATACTCTTTCTGCTAATGAACCTTATGAGTGCTTTTAGATTTCTAAAGACTCTCCCCATATATAACAACCAGGGAATGCTCAAGGTTGCGGTACAAAAAGAGTTAATTCATCATAGGATGGAGCTTGCCATTCGAGATTCTAACACGTTTAACCACGCTTAAGGCAACATATAGTTGAGTATAGATGGAAACCACCAAATGAATAATTAGTACTAATTATTATCTACAACTGATTCTCAGCCTACTATGCACATGTTTACAAGAACACTTTTCTACAGTCTACATTCAAACTTAAACTTCCAAGTGTAGCTATCTCAATTAGTCTTCGTACACTGCGAACAACTTCTCTGGGTAGAATCAGTCCCAACATTCAACCAACCAATCTACACAAACATCGTATCAGTGCAGTATCAAAGAAACTATTAGTATTGACTATTGAGCTATATTCTGAGAATACAAAAGTTGTTTGTTCTTTTACCTGTGATTCCAAAAGTTCAGCAGGCACCTCAGTTCTTCTGGGTACTGATTATGGATGACAGAAGCCCAGCGTATGACATAAACAACAACGACGATATCTTCTTTTTCTCGTCCCTAATAGCCGCCAATGCCATAAACCCACCGTCGAATCCCGAACGATCAGAAGCTTCTTCATCGCCATCTTCGTTTCAATTTCATTGCTGCACCCATTCCCTCTCCAGTGCGCGATCTCGAACGTCGGCGACAGTGCGACTATGTCCCCGTTCAATTCGTTCAAATCCCTACCTTTAAATGAGAGGCTCACGCTGCATCCTCCGAATTCCGCCCAGGCGCTGATTTCCCCCAACCTCTTGACGTGCCTCCTGTCGATTAAACCCGATTGGACAGCCAGCTCGAAGAAGAAGTAGTGGATTCCTTCGCCGTCGTAGGAGAGGATGGAGAGGATCACTTCTTGTTGGGAGTGGAAGTGGGAGGAACGGGAGCCACGACGGAGGGAATTCAGGATGGAAATGCCTTCCAGCCGAGGCCAACGCTGGACTCGAAGCTCTTGAGACGGTTGGGTAGAATTAGGGTTTCAGGGAGGATCGTGGAGGAGAGGATAATATGGGCGGAATCAATATGAAGATGGAGGGGATAGTCGGGACGACGAAGAAGAAGAGGGATGGTCTGTGGAGGGTTTGTCCTTTAGTTCTCTAGGGACGTGGGTTTGGGTATTGGGGTTGGATAGTTAATTCCAAAGATCCATCCAAAAAATCACTTCACCCACCCAAACCGATTAACTATACTAAATTGCAAACATTTATATCTTGTAAGAAGTTTCTGGTAATTATTGTTATAATTAATAAGTGATTTAACTAGGAAAAATCAAGAGCCGTTGAGATCACACGTACGGTGAAAGATCACCCTGGGTATGGCATACCCCGGATTTTACCCGGGGTACCGTAGAAGGCACCATAGACGGTACCCCGGATTTTTATTAACATATGTTCACTTGAAGTCATTTGAAGTCTGTAACGGCAGGAGATCACTTTTAATTTATGTTTATGGTACGTGGTTCGGGTACAAGATATGTGGTGTACAGTATAGGATAGATGGTCAGGGTATAGCAATTAGCAAATATCACTTTTTATCTATGTTTTGAAAATCAAAGTATGAATTTCACTATTAAATTAACTATATACTAGCAAAATAACAACTCATAAGGACATATGGTTAGGGTATAGGGTATGCGGTTAGTGTATAATGTATTGATGGTTTAGGGTATACAATCAACAACATATACTAACTTAATATTGTCGATTGAGGGTAAGGCTAAGTGTATAGGATATATGTTATTAAGTAAGTTATGATTGAAGTCACAATAATTTTACTAAATTTGATAGATAATCTCTAATGGTTCAATTTTTAGGATAATTCGAATAATTTTACAAATAACTTGTTTGGCAACAGTTTACGGAAGTTATTTGGCCAATGAGTTATTTCGAAATAACTCCTTTTATCACTCTATTTTTGCCAAATACCACACTCCAAATACCAGATTTGCATGGTTATACTAAACGAGATACTTTAATCCAATTACTATTGAAATAATACTAAAATATCAAATAAACAATTAATGGTATCTTTTGGTTGCAAATATTGATATCAACATTACTATTAGCTAGTGTACTTTACCAATTATGATTAATTACATAACAAGTTTGCAAGTCACACAAATTGATTTAACATTTTGACTAGTTTTTTTCAAAAAATTAAGTATATATATACGAGGTAGAAATAAATTGGTTAAAAAGTTGAGAAAAATATTTTAAATTAGTGTAATAAAATACGTAAGTTGGTAACGAGTAATGAGTAAGTTACTCGATGTGCTGGCCCGAACAACCCGAAACCCGATCCGCCCGCAACCCGCTCGATCCAAAACACAATGAACCCGCAACCCAATTTGCCCGCAACCTGATTGAACCCGAACCCAATGAACTCGCAATCCGACTAACCCGCAACCCATTTGAACCCGAACCCGATGAACCCGAACACCCGACTAACCCGCAACCCGTTTGAACCCGAACCTGATTGAACCCAACCCGAACCCGCCCGATTGACACCTATAGGTATAACTTCAACAAACGTGAAAATTTGGACACGACCAACAATTTTTTTTTTACATGCCGAAGTACCATATAGAGGACACCACACCACAAAGTATAAAGGACGTTTGGACTTAATTTGATAAGTAGCATACGAGGGAGGATCCGGTGACTAGGGGGTGTTTAGTCACTTGACTAAGCCCCTTCCAGCCCATAGATCTGGACTTAGCAATCTGATGATTAAAAAGTGGGAAGAGCTATTTAATTAATGACAGGGGTAGTTTGGGTATTATGGAAGATTACGAAGTATACAAACCGGACTTACAATCAGTACAAACCATACGAACATACGAACAATACAAACTAGAGCGAAAAAACATACAAACAGATTTACAAACATTACAAACATATGAACTGTACAAACAATACAAACTAGACCGAAAAACAATACAAACCATACAAAAAGAAAAAAACCAGGTTGACTTTGGAGGCTCCATCCCGATATAGAGGGGCTTCGTCCCAAAGTCAACCCGGGTGTTTTTTAGACATACAAACATTACAAACATGGTGGACAAAAATGACAAACCAGACCAAAAATTCATACAAATTTGAAAACCACCCGGGTTGACTTTGGAGGCTTCATCCCTATATAGAGGAGTTTCATCCAAAAGTCAACCAGGTTGTTTTTTAGACATAAAAAACATTACAAACATGGTTGACAAAAATGATAAACATGGTGCACAAAAATAACAAAGCTTACAAACATTACAAAAGACACCCACAAACATAACAAAATAACAAAGTTTAAAAAAATTACAAAATAAATCGACAAATAGTACAAAGCATACTAACCGTACAAAATGTCACTAAAAATGACAAACAAGAATGATAAGCAATACAAACCGAATTGATACAAACATTACAAAATAGATCAACAAACATCACAAATCTAGCAGTACAGCCGAAAAATCCTTCTCCACCGTTGCTGGTCGTCGGAAAAATTTCATCCGATTAGAAAAATCTATCTCTCAGCTGGGGAATGGGGCAAAATTGCCTCCGCCGGTGGGAATTATATTCCCAGAACTCTCTCTCTCTCTCTCTCTGAGTTCCCCAACAAAAGTGATTCTCCATCCTCCATTATGCCTCCGAGATTTTCCCTAGAAGCGACTGGCCGGCGGGCAAAAAAAATGGCGGCCCAAATATCCCCATACCGCCGGGGAAAAATAAGCGGCCGCAGGGAGGAGAGGAACGGCGGTTCTGCCAGTGGCCCAACTTTTTTTATCATTTTAATTCTTAAATACATAAATTATGTAATTACTACTTTATCCTTTATTGAAATAGATAAATCTGATCCATTTAGATTTTAATCAGACTCAATGGTTGAGGTTGGCTTAGTCATGTGACTAAGGGACCCCCTCCTTAGTTACCTGATCTTAGCCCGTAACGTACATAGTTGCTTTATTTTATGAGCGGCATTTAAGTATTAATTATTTGGTAATGATTTATGTTTATTACTGCTGTGAGTAATACTTTCTTGACCCAGTTCATGATTCTTGATATTTAAGTAGTCATACATAATTTTATCTCTCTTTAGGTGATCTACTTTGTTGGCTTCTTAGTGGAAGTACGCTTCTCTTGTCCAAATTTTTTTTTTTTATAATCAACTTCTGGAATTTTTTTAATAGCTTGCCATCTCCTTAGACAAACCGTCTAGGAGGAAAATAGGTGGTCTAGAGTCTCAGACGTCTTGGGTCTCCCAATTACATAGAGAGTGGGCCATAACATGGGCCAGATTATTCCCAGCCCGTTTAATAAAGCTGCAGTGAATCTCCCCAACTCTTTGGGCCTCGGCCTGCAGCTCTCTGATCACCTGACCCGTCTACAGCCTCGAGTATTCCGCCTTCTGCAACGCCACCTCCACCTGCTGGCAATCCGTCTCCACCACCGCCCGGCGAAAACGGCTCATTTCCAGCTACTTCAGGCCGAATTCCAACGCTTTCATTACTGCGATTTTCGGTGGCCAGCATCGTCGTTCTCGCTGCACCGCTGCCCGAAGGAAGCTTCCGTTCTCATCTCTCAGAACCATCCCCAATCCCGTGCCCTGTCCTTCAATCACCGCCGCGTCCACGTTCGCCTTCACCCACCCAGTCGGCGGCCGCTTCCAGGTAATCACTTCTGCCTCTTTGATCTGCTCCTCCCTCTTATGGTATGATGTATACTCCTCCCAGTAGCTTAGAGCCCTCCCAACAACCTCCCACTCTTCTGCCTTCTTCCGATTGAACAATTGGTTGTTTCTCTCATTCCACATCATCCATAGAACCACCACGAATTGCTCCAGCATTTTGTCGTCTACCCGCTCCATAACTTCACACATCCAGCCACACGACGACAACCCTGGCTCCAATTCGAAAAAGGTGTCTGAAATCCGATTGCCTCCAAACCCTAATCGCCCACTGGCATTCACGAAATATATGATTCTGTGTTTCTTCCAGGTGGCAGAATGGCCATTCGACTGCCGCTTCCTCCTTCCTCTTCTCGATGTTTTTCCCTGTTGGGAGAATATCATGGACCAGCCGCCATGTAAATATTTTACTTTTGCCGGTATTTTAAGCCGCCAGAGTCTTTTCCAATTCATGGGGTCGTAGATTTCCACTGCTTGCCCCTCCTCTTCCTCACCTCCACCAACATCTTCATACATATTTGACGAAGGACTTCTACTCTGCATCTTAGCCATTCTATAGGCTGTCTTTACTGAGTAATTGCTTGTTCTTTCGCAGCTCCACACTCGTTCATCCTCCATTGTCTGTCTAGGAATTGGAATTCCAGAGATGCGCGCCCTATCAATAGGGTTGAAAAATTGTTGTAGTAGACTCTGATTCCATGTTCGATCCTCATGGTCAATAAGATCAGCTACTACCCTAAGCTCATCAGTCTCCACCTCGGGCGTTGTCACCCTGAACCCATCCTCTTCCGCCTCTGGTATCCACTTCTCCCCGCAAATTCTCACCACAGCTCCACTGCCTATCCTCCACCTCAATCCACTTTTAACTAGCTCTTGTGCTGCCATGATACTACGCCATGTATAACTTGGAATATACCCTACCTTTGCCTGTAGAACATCAGAATTAGGGTAGTACTTCGCTTTCAAGACTCGCGCTACTAGAGAGTCTGGATTGATATGGAGATTCCAGATTTGTTTCCCCAATAGCGCTAAATTGAAAGTGTGTAAGTCTCGGAAACCCATGTCCCCTTCCTCTTTCGGTTTACATACCTCCTTCCATGCCTTCCATGGGATTCTGCGTTCCTCCTTCTGCTGTCCCTACCAAAAGCTCGAGATGGCCTTCCTAATCTCATTCAACACTCCACTCGGAATCAGAAACACTGACATCATATATGTAGCTTGAGATTGGGCCACCGC